AGCCGTTTTAGGGGGGCGTGGCAGAGTCTTAACTTTGATAAAGAATATCTCTTTGGTTTTGAGACTTTAGTCTTTGCAACTTCAGTGATCTTATCTATGCACAATCAACTTGTAACACTCCAAAGAGAAAGGAAAACTTGAAATCGCATCATATGACCCCTTTAACACACTTGTACATAAATGTCTGTATGTGTTTTTCAGACAAGAAAATGCTATTTTCCGAGAGAATATATCCATTTTGGAGAATCAGCCGAAAGTGAAGGGCCTCTCGTTTACCTCCTTCCTCATCCTCCCTTTCCAGCGAATCACACGACTCAAACTACTTGTTCAGGTAAGCGTCAGCCAATTAGAAGTCTTGAGTAACTTGTGTAGGGAATGAGTAAACCAATCAAATGTCTTCGAATTAGTTAAATCTGTCTTTAGCAAAACTGCTTCTTTTTTGTTCCAGAATATTCTGAAGAAGGTGGAGGAAAATTCAGAGAGCGAAAAGACTGCAATATTAGCTCATCAAGAGTTGGAAAGGGTAAGTGTGTGTGTGTGTGTGTGTGTGTTTTGATTACAGGGTGTGGTAATGAGTCTTGTTATTAGTAAGTATCATTGTCTCTGGACTTTCACCTGTCAAGCACGTCTTACACTGTTGTTGCTGTTACCAAGGTTACCGCGCCACACCTCTTTTCGCTGACTTTAACAGCTGTGAGGTGGAATGCTGCTTTTGTTCTTAATTATTTTCTTTAAACATTTTAAAGCGAATATTGCAGCATTCACGTCATGTTGGAATTAACGTAATTGTGATTCAACTGCTATTCAAGTCCTCAGACTCAAATTATTTGCTGTTATGGCAACAATCATAATGCCATGTTGAGATTTGTTGTGGTTGTTTAAAGGAAATACATCATCGCGACATTAATTCACCACCATATGCTTTTGCAGAATATTCAACAACAAAAACTGCATCAATTATGTCTAGGTTCGAAATGTAAAATATAAACGTATCTGACTACCTTCTATTAAAGCTGCTACCATTACATTTATAATATTTTTTTCTAATAATATTATATATAATATTTGTTATTTATATTGTAAAATAAGTACTGTAATAAGAAGATAATGTAGAATGTTTATTTTATTTATAATTTTTAATATTTATAAATATATGATATTTATTTAGAAATATTATTTATTTATCATAATATTAAATGATATATATTTGTATTTATATGTATTTATAATTATTAATTATATCATAAAGTCATGTAATATTAATTAAATTAAATCTGTCATGAGTTGAATTAGTGTGTTTCTTTGCAAATTATTTGTTGTTTTGGCAACAGTCACTTTACCTAAATGTATCCGTGTGGTGGTTTGTTGTGGTTGTTGACAGGAAATACATCACCACTATATTAATTTACCACTATATGCTTTTGGAAAATATTTAACAACAAAAAGTGCATCGTTTAACACTAGTGCATTAAATAGCATACAATAAATAGAAATACATCATGTGCACAGATAACTGATTGCCTTTAAATGTTTTTGGTGTGGTTGTTTTGTATGTGACTTCACAACACTTTCTATTTTATGAATTCGCTGAAGATGCAAAATGTTTTTAGTGCTCAAATGTATGATTCTGATTATTAACACAATCAAGACACTACAGTGGGTCTCAGTAAACACTGACTCTGAAGACCACAAGGCAAAGTTTATGTCCCAGAGGTCATCTGCAGTTTGCTCATTTATAAAGATTTGTTAAACGTCTGGTAAACAAACAGCCGATAGGCTACTTGAACTCCAAGTTGAAGTGAAACTCACAAAGTATAATTTAGTCCTTGTTCTTGTGTGTGGGAGTATGTTTTTCTAATTGTGATGACAACATTTCTGAGGGAATAGTAAAACCTGATGAACTGGAGACGTTCCTACAAGGAAATCAGTTTAAAAATGGGTTTAAAGCAGCACTATGTAACTTTTGGCGCTCTAGCGGTTAATAAACAGAACTGCACACATCCCGCGGAAGAACATTCCAACCGGAGCTACTTCTCTAAGTTTATGTCTATGGCGATTCACGCAGGTCTGTGTTACTCCGCAGCGGTGACGACCCGACCAGGCTACAATAGTCCAAATATAAGTACTTATTATAAGTGTACCGGAGTGATTCGGAATAAGACAAAAACGCGGTTTGGAAGATGAATTCATGATGTACTCGCTCATTATATACATTTAGCAAATTTTGAACACAGAAAAAGTTACACAGTGCTGCTTTAAAATCAACTATGTAAAAAGCTTTTTTGAAATCAACGGCTTTTGCAGCTCTTATTTGTGAGTTGTGGATTTGCTTTTTGATCAATTTCAGTTTTTAACCGCCTCATCCTTTAATAGCAGCCTTTTTATCTTTTGTGTACCAAGGACTGCAAAAAGACTATATTTTCAAAATGCCATTTAATACTAAATGAGGCATCCAAACACTTTGACATTTGAACCATTTACCATCTTTATGTGTGTGGCATGTTTTTAAAGCAGCACTATGTAACTTTTGTCGCTCTAGCGGTTAATAAACAGAACTGCACACATCCCGCGGAAGAATATTCCAACCGGAGCTACTTCTCTAAGTTTATGTCTATGGCGATTCACGCAGGTCTGTGTTACTCCGCAGCGGTGACGACCCGACCAGGCTACAATAGTCCAAATATAAGTACTTATTATAAGTGTACCGTAGTGATTCGGAATAAGACAAAAACGCGGTTTGGAAGATGAATTCATGATGTGCTCGCTCATTATATACAATATATGCTGCTTTAATAATTGTCTAATTTGTATCTAAAAATGCCTAAAGTTGTATTTCAAGGTTAGGGTGTATATGTGGGTTAGTGTAGAGTGCTTATAATTAGCTCTTATTAAAATAGAAGTGAATGGGAAATCCCCACATGTCAGGATATTAATGCAGATGTGGGTGTGTGTTTGTGTCTCTCAGATTGTGAAGGAGTGCAATGAAGGAGTTTTTTTTATTTATATATATATATATATATATATATATATATATATATAATATAAAAAAAACACATCTTGAATTCATTGCCATGCATTTTCATTCTATAAAAATGAGCAGTGTGAACATTCTGTTAAATATCTCCTTTTTTGAGGCTTATAATATGAGTACATTTTTGTGTGAACTATCCTTTTCAAGAAGTCTTTACTTGGGTATCAGAATGAAACTCTTACAACCCTGATCTTTGTAAAGTGCATAAAGTGCAGTTGTGTTCTCTTGTTTGCAGTCAGTGCCGGTGATTTCTCACTCTCGCTGGCTCCTGAAGAAGGGTGAGGTGCAGCAGATGTCCGGGCCCAAGAGCACCAGGACCATGCGCAGCCGCAAGCTCTACCACCCCATCTACCTGTTCCTGTTCAATAATCTGCTGCTCATCACCAAACGCAGCTCCAGGTCTGTGACATCATCAGCTGCACTTCACGATGTCATCGGTCGCTTATAATAAACGCAATGATGTCGTCTGTTGGTGTGGACAATCATATTATAAAATAAATGATATAATAGTATATTATATAATATTTTTAATTTGTAATATTATATACTAAGTAATGTAAAAATAAATAATATGAAAAATATTTATTTATATCATTATGATGAAATTCAGTTTAATAATAAATATAACTCTAACTATTATAAATGAAATAATTATAATAATAAATAAAATACATTTTATTTATAATATTGTAAAATAAAAACTACAGTAAATAATACCATATTAAATGTCATTTTAAGTACATTTAAAAATACTATAATATTTTAATTAATTGTTAGAAATTATAATAAAAATATTTAATTTTGTTTTAATTTGTTATGAGTTAGTGTATTTAATTTTAGAATCCACACAAAACAGTGAGATTGTCCGTTAGTGTGGACATTAATCTAGTTATTGTTCTTAGTGTGAATAGGACAAAAAAAAAAATTACTCGTAAATAAAAAAAAGAAATATTGTATTGTCCATTAATGATTTGTTGATATTGATTGTCGAAAGATGAATGCTGAAATAGGTCAAAATGGCTAAATGTTGTCTGAATAATGTACTTGACTGATATTTACTCACTAGTCTCACTCTCCATTGTATTATGATTGTTTTTGCTAAAAAATGTTTTATTGTATATGTACTTTATATGTGTGTTTCAGTGGAGAGAAGTACCAGGTTCTGGACTCCTGCAGTCGCTCCATGCTGAGGACTGAAGACCTGGAGGATCAGGGTCAAATGCTGGCCTGTGCGTTTGTGCTGAAACTGCTGGAGAACCAGGAGGACAGAGAAGTCAGCTACATGCTCAAGACCGAAAGCATGTGAGAACGCAGTCCTAAGCCATTATCACAGAGATTACAGTACATGTTTGCTTTGTGCACTAATGGCTCTATGAATGTTTACAGAAGCGATAAACTGCGCTGGATATACACTTTGACTCCAAACCGCCGTACGAGATTCCTCTCGACCAGCACTCACCAACCAGGTACATCACATGCATGCATGCACACCCTATGTAGCATGGCTCTATGCCATGCGTTTGATTTGAAATAAACTCTTGAATGCACATTGGTTTGGATAAAAGCTCAAGCTGCTAAATGTAAAAATGGGGTACGTCTGGTGTCTGAATCAGACAAGATAAATCCCATCTCTATTTGTCATAATGACACAGTTTCCATTTCTGTCATCATACTAGTTAGCTCTGTAATTGATTCAAAATCCCATTTCTCAGTCCCGTTCCTTCTTTATTTATCATCTTTTACTGTCCTATTTCTTCCTGTCCCAATAAATAAGTGACATGAAAGGCTATTTTATTATTACATTTTATTTAAAAAAATATATATATAATAAATAATATTAATATATTTTTTTCTAATATTATACAGTAAGTAATATAGCATATAATGCTTATTTTATTTATAACAATATAAAAGAATCGAATAGTAATTATTATATATATATATATATAAATTTGTATTTAAACTATGACAAGTAATGCTTATTAAAATAGAAGTGAATGGGAAATCCCCACATGTCAGGATATTAATGCAGATGTGGGTGTGTGTTTGTGTCTCTCAGATTGTGAAGGAGTGCAATGAAGGAGTGAGGAAGATGAGTCGCACTGAAGAGCTGATCAGCATCGAGAAAACACTTGAATTCAAGTCGAAGGTACTGAAAGACTAAAGATGTTGTGCCATAACCCCGAACGCACTCTTCTACTGTACTTAAAGGAACAGTTCACCCAAAAATATCATTTATTTATGTCACTCCAAACCGTGTGACTTACTTTCTTCTATTGAACACAGAAGGCGATGTTTAGCAGACTGTTAAAGCTGCTCTTTTCCAAACATGAGATTAAACAGGGACTGGTGACTGTAAAAGCCATAAAATATGTTAATACACTGTAAATAAAATAAATAAATTTCCAAGGTGTATAAAAACAAAAAACAAAGATTGGAGTATGCCTTACAATAAAATGCTTTTTCTTTAGTAATTCAATGTTATTTGCTGTTTCTTTGTAATTGTGAAATTTAGTAGCGATTGAGTGAAAATTATTTCTAATTAAATCCTACACCAATTTTTTTTTCAGTGTAGTGTTTCTAATGTAAGTGTTTTGTTTTATTTACCAGTATTTTGCATTATTTCAGAATGTAATAATAAAATGTGACTCATACACCAATGCATTTTTTCTCTCAGCAATGCATAACAATGCAAATCTTGCCCCAGTTGAACTATTCAGATGCAACATATTTGCGGAAAATACGGTAATAGCTATATGTGATTAACAGACTAAAATTTAAGTCATTGTGCGCTAAAAATAGTTTCTAGCTCTTATTTGCATTTGTTGACTCAAACTTGATGTATCTCATTCAATTATGATACATATGAGAATCAATGGCATTTGGTTTATTAATATAAAATAAGTGACATGAAAGGCTATTTTATTATTACATTTTATTTAAAAAAATATATATATAATAAATAATATTAATATATTTTTTTCTAATATTATACAGTAAGTAATATAGCATATAATGCTTATTTTATTTATAACAATATAAAAGAATCGAATAGTAATTATTATATATATATATATATAAATTTGTATTTAAACTATGACAAGTAATGTAATGAAAAATATTTATTTTACTTTATAATATAATAAAATAATATATATTTATTTTATTTCATTTTCTAACATTAGAAAATAAATATATTTTATGTATTTTTAAAATATGTTTTATAAAATAATGTAATAATAATTAATATATAATATGTTTATTTGTTATATATTAGATTATTTTAATATTGTAAGTAAAAATAATTAAATATTATAATATTGAAAAATTAAAATAAATGTTACATATAAAAAAAAGAAATATTGCAAATACTATTAAAATTAATATAATACAATTTGTAATATTTATTTACATTTTCTAATAATATAATTTTGTTTTGATTACATTAATTTATTAAATAAATAATGTAATAAATTTAATTTCATTTAATTTCATTTTACTTTCTTGACTTGAATTAGTGAGTTTCTTTGTATCTGTGTGCAGTATGATTTATTGTTTTTCTGGTGCATGTCAGATTCTGCACAGGTTCAGTGTATCCAGTCGTACTCCTCTCAGGAACCTGATGAGCTCTCTGTAGAAATGGCTGATGTACTGCACATTCTGGAGTGTACCGATGATGGTAAGAGATCACGAACGCATCGACAAAAAATCAGTCAGTGTTTGCCTTAAATGAAAGACTTGCAATAAGCCATGCAACTTCATCAGACTTTGCTGTTTTTGGCTAGACCCGGTCTTTGTCTTTCATTTCTGCATCATCTGCTGTCATTTGTATAAACGTGTCTCTCTCGCTATGTTGCTTCCTTTCATCTGTTCTGTTTTACTATTTTTGTGACACGTCCTTCCTGTTTTTGGCATATCCGTCTCTCGCCCTCAGGCTGGATGTTGGGTGAAAGGTTGCATGACGGCGAGCGAGGCTGGTTCCCCATCCGCGTGGTGGAGAGGATCAAGAGCGCAGAAGTTCGGGCTCAGAACCTTAAAGAGTGTCAGCGGATCCAGCAGGCTCAGGAAGGAGCGCAGGGGTTCAGAGCTGCCTCCAGGGGGCGCCGCCCAGCCAAAAGCCCCCAATACACTCCCACCTGGACCGACCTGTAGATAAAGAACAAGAAATGACATCGCATAACCACCACAATCATCCTACGTTCTCCTAATTCCTGACCCGGTAACCCGGAAGCGGCGCCCCCTAGATGTCGCAGCGGACCGATAGTCATTCTGTGTCCAGTGTTTTATTGAATACGTGTCCGGCGTCACACTGAGGACTCGACAGGGTCGTGGAAGAGCTCTTGCACTATAAGCACTTGTGTTTTTTAATCGATGCTTCCATACAGTCCTAACACGCTGTTAGCATGAAGGATTTCAACTTTTGCAATCACACACGGGGACCACTTTTCTGACGCATATGAGGTGAAGGAAAATAAACGCTTCATCAGGACTTTTGTAAAGTCGTAATGCTTCTCTGGAAAAGGAATGTATTAATGTGCATGGTCACACCTTACTGACATTACAGGTTTGTGTTTTTAAACTAACCTCTGAGGACAAAGAGGATGTACTGTACCGTATGGAGCTCGTCCTCCTCCCATCCACATGAAGAACAAAATGAAAATAAGAGAGAAAATGAACAAAGTTAATCAAATGCACATATATGGCATTTAGAATGCGATTTTTTGGGGAACATGGAGGTAAAAAATGCAGATGAAGAACACTGCGGCGTTTTTTTGCACGTGCTGCATGAAAGTGTATGAACAATCACATACACATTAAACAATGTTTTCCTACACAAACACACTACACACAAGAGAGTAATGTTGTTAAACCAGTCTAACAACTGTGTCCTAACCAGATACATGGTAACTTTCCAACAACAAGCCATTTGTCCATACTAAAAGCGAAAATGCTCAATGATGAGCCGTAATGAAGTTTAATATTAACTAATCACATTTTTGAATCACCTGTTTGTTTGGATGCACAAACAATTTATATATATATATATTTTTTTTTATAGATTTGGGTCCATAAGTACACGTAAAATATATAAATATAGCAAATATAAGATGCAATTGCATTACTAAGAAATAGCTTCTAACAAGATGGCTGATGTGAACTGACTTTAAGGGAGATTCACCCCAAAATTTAAAAAAAATTTTTCCCTCATGTTGTTCCAAACCTACAATATTTTCTTTTGTGAACCACAGGAGATTTTTTTTTTTTGTGGATAATTTTTTTTCATAGGTTTTTAGGTCAAAAACATCCATTTACAAAGAATAGATGCTTTTGTCATTTTATTAGTTGAATCTGGTTTGGACACGGTTTAACAATCTTTTCCAAGAGAATGTAACTTCCATGAGAGATGAGTCTTGCTGCTCGGCTGGAGTTGGTGTTTGTATCGTTGTGTGCATGTTCATATGAAGACCTCTCATGTTCAAACGTGGTAAAGAGTCGTTGCCAAATAATTGTCCTATTTCATTTTGTAAAAAGATAATTTATTGTTAATGAAAATAAATCTTGAATGTTGAGATCTTGTCGTCTCCGTCTCACCTCATCTAATAAATGACAAACCCCCCGCTTTCTGTAAGAAATGTTCATTTCTGCCCACTTTAAGTTTTGACCTTCCTTTTTTTGACCTCCTGTCTCTAATGTGACGTACTGATATTCAATGAGGAAAAAAATGTAGGGTAAAACTTGATTTTATCCATCAGGAATTCTTTGAATGATGAAAAGTGCCTCTGACTGATGAGGAAAGGCACTTTGTAATGGCAAAAAAGTAAGTCACTTCAAAAACTTTATTGTAGTTAAGTTAGTAGCCTATAAGTGGATTGAGCAAGTCCGAATTCTCTAGCAAATGATTGAAGTTTTTTTATTTTTTATTCATTGTGCACCAATTAATTGTGACCACGAACATGATATTAAATTTAACAGCACATGACAAACTGATTGTCTTGGTAAGTTGGTAGTTTCACCCAGCAAGCTGTTTCCTGAAGCTCAGGCTTTGCAGCTGCAGAACCAACAACACCAGGCCACTTCCTCTTTTCCAGCTCTTCACAGACATCTTGTACTCTCAAAAACATGATCAGAGTTCAAATATCATCAGAGGAGCGTTCAGGATGCGTGGTCTTGAAACGTGAGCATGTGACTGAGACCAGTTGACCATATACACCAGCATTTCACTGACAGTGTATTGGAAACCCCTGGAATCCCATACACTTCTTGAATAAACTATATAGAAACTGATATTTTATAGAACTAAAATAAAAGTTCCCTGGGTTTTTTTTTTTGTTTAAACGATGCTCCCTTTGCAGATGAAAATGAAAGTGATATATACTAAAGCTAAATATACATATTTAGTCAGCTTTGCAGGTCACGTGAGTAAAATCCACTTTGGTAAATCCAGATAAGCAGATAAGCTTATATACAAAACTATTTTAGATGGAAAGATATGACTGATTTCTCACAGAGACACTAAGCAAGTGTCACAGCTAGTAAAAACATGCTGGGTGGCATTGCAATAACTTCTTTTCACTGTAGCCTATGATAAGGAATTTTGAATATTGTTAGATGGAAATAAAGTTTACCTAAAACCAGGTATTTGCATGATTTGTCACCAGGCTATGAGATAAAATAAAAGCACGATCTTTTGTTGTACTCTGTGTAAATTACAGATTAAAGTTTTAATTACAGTTACAAAGTTACAATTTCACTGAATTTATTTATTTATTTGAAAAACGTCAGTTGCAAAAGTCCGATGTCAAATTAAAACAAACATATGATGCGATTAGCTTTATAGTCAAGCTTTGTACTGAGAAATAGTTCTTCATTTGAGAAGGCGGGGCATAGAGGAGAAACAATAATGTACAGTATGTGGAAAATAATGTGTTTTTTTTTACTTTAAACCGCATAAACACATTTCATTACACCAAATACACAAAATAATGTTCTTTTTAGCAGCATCATATGACCCCTTTAAAACAAAAATGCCTTCATATTAGCTTTATAGTCAAGCTTTGTACTGAGAAATAGTAGCTCAGTTGAGATGCTCTACTGACATCTAGCGGTAAGAGAATATAAGTGCAGCTGTGAACTTTGTTCAATCAATCAGTGGCTCAAAAGTCCATCAACGAATTAATTAATCTATATCACATTTTAGACGATTTATAGCTCACATTTTCCTCCGTTTAAAGATGATTCCTATTAAGAAAAGCGTTTATGGTCGGGTTACTAACATTTTCTGATGTATTTATCAGTTTGCAGAAAATAAAGCTTTTTGTTACCAATTAACCTGCATAGTGTTTATATTTATACGATAATATGATTAAAGATTTATATGGGCAGATATATCCTAATTTTGAAGAGACTGGCTGCTGTGATTTCTGTGACGCAAGTTCTTCAACCGATATGTTCTCATATAACCTCATGGCCGGTTAGCTCAGTTGGTTAGAGCGTGGTGCTAATAACGCCAAGGTCGCGGGTTCGATCCCCGTACTGGCCATTTATTTTCTTTGACTGTGGTATTTCAAATAGTGTGAATTGCCAGAAAATTCATATTTTGAGTGATTTGCATATTCTGGTTATTTTAAATAATATGATGCATATTATCTTGTTGTAATACTAGAAAATATTTATTAGCCTTCACTGTTCAACGCGCATGCTGCTCTACCTTGTTTGATCTCCGAATGAGATCAGTTGCGGTGAGCTACATGGTTTGCCTCATATCGTCAGCACGTTTTCAATTGAAAAATAAGAAAAGGAGGGCTCGTCCGGGATTTGAACCCGGGACCTCTCGCACCCAAAGCGAGAATCATACCCCTAGACCAACGAGCCATACACGCTGCTCACTTTCTGCATGTCTGAAGTATTTCAACATTGAGGAAAACTGTCCTATAAAATCTTTGTTTTATAGATGGTTATTTTCGCGTTTATATTTATGAATATATATAATATAATAATGTACGAAATAATAGTTATTCGGAAATAATGGCAACTTAGTCTCTTGTACAAATGCTTGCCGAACTTCAACACATACATTTGCGGTTTAGATCGCAGGTTCACATTTGAAGGTCTTACCTGTATTTCCATAAATTATCTCTAATTTCTTAGTTATCGTGAGCTATTCTTATATAAAAGTCCATTATCCGTGCAATAGCTGTTATGGGACCTCGTGGCGCAACGGTAGCGCGTCTGACTCCAGATCAGAAGGTTGCGTGTTCAAATCACGTCGGGGTCACATGATTTGTTGTGTTTTTGCTCCGAAGTGTTTTATCCATATAATCATATTACCATTTTGGGGTACAGTCCGTTACACACAATTGACAGCAGTGCCGTTCATTTAATAGCGTTAGAAGTCGGTGGAGTTTTACCTTAATTACAATCCACATTTCAATCAAATAAATGAAATTGTAGACCATTATTGTTTTAATTCACCATTTTGGTAAGGAGAAAAAAACAGGGCTCGTCCGGGATTTGAACCCGGGACCTCTCGCACCCTAAGCGAGAATCATCCCCCTAGACCAACGAGCCACTCGACACAAAAATAGCTCTGTCCACATAGTCATCTTACATTTAGGTACATGAAAAACGTATACATGCACACTGCTTCGAGAGGTAAAGAATATAAAGAGATAAACAAGGTTTATTTGCGTTGTAAATGTACATTTGCTGTATGAAAACAACCATAATAATAATAATAATAATAAAAAACATATCCATAATAACAGTTTGTAAGAGGGTGAGCAGCTTGTGGCTGTACTGTACGCAAACTTTAATGTCTTGAACTTGATGTGAGCGGTGAACGGTAGCCAGTGAAGATACTAGTATTACATTCCCAAGAAATAATTCTTGCATAATACACTGCAACATAAAAATCATTATTGTTGCTTTGTAATATAATAAACATTTAAATTAAATAAATCTGGTTCTAATTAACCAGGCTGGTGCTGCATTAAAGATATAATTTCATTTTGTTTCATCATGTATCAAGCCTAATACAAAATATCATCTTAATGATAAATCAGTCAGGTTCCGGCCCAGGATCTTCACCATATTTCAAATCGCTGGTCTCTGATGAACTGCTTTCTATCACTGATTTTGTTTCTGAAAAGTCTGCAAAACACAAAATTGACCACACAATGATGTACAAATCAACTGATGTGTTAAGTTAATCTACATCCCTCAAAAATTAGGATCAGCAATAACAAAGTTGTTCAATCATTAAAGTGTAAAGTAAAGCTAAACATGTATTCTACAATGAACCACTGTCATTTATATATGACATGTAATTTTAAACATGCATTTTAGATATCAAAAACATAGACTTCATTTAATTTATTTATGTATTATTTATTTATTTGCATTATTGTAATTAAATGATTCTAGATTATAGAATACAAAACTTGAGACTTCGATTGAACACAACAGACCCACATAACTTTATAAACATGAGACACAAATGATTTATCTTTTTAGTTAGTCACTAAAACTTCATATTCATTAATTTCATAGAGGGTTAATAGACCTACACCAGTAAAACACTGATCACACACACTTACCGTACAGTCTGAATATTGCTGTGAGTGCAGACGACACTGTGGATGCTCTTTGCTGATTCATCTGTGATATTATTGTGACTCAGGCTACAAGAAGAAATGAGATGAAAAGATTAAACAGAAATAAACATGAAGTAAACAAGTTTGAATACTGTGTTTTATATTTCTCTATTCCTGACGTGTCTGTGTAACTCACTCCAGAGTCTGGGTTTTGTGCAGATGTGGCAGCAGCGGCTCCATGCAGTGATCAGTGAGTTTGCAGTGACTGAGATCCAGTTCTGTCAGTCCTTCAGAATATTCCAGAAACAGTGCCAGCTCTTCACAAGCTCTCTGGTCCATCTGAGTGTGACTGAGGTCCAGTTCTCCTCCCAAAGCCTGTGAAAGAGCCTCAGCGCTCCTCAAAGAGCCTCTCTCTGCTCCATCTTTACTAATACAAGCCAGAAACTGCAGCAGCAGAGCTTTACTACAGCTGACGAGAGGAAGGAGAACAAAACAACAAACATGAATGTGAGAATAATATACAGCGATTTGATATGGAGATAAATAATGCACTATGTAATATTAGCAATGGAAGAGGTCTGTCAGCTGTCTTACCTCAGCTGGACTTGAGGCAGGACTGGCCAAAGTTGTTTCAGGGCCTCATCAGAGAGCTCACAGTCCTGTAAGATCAACTTCACAATAGTTTGAGTTTTCTGAAGCACAGATGAGATCATTCTACAGTCTTTTTTGGTTAGTTTCAAATGTTCTTGGTTTTCCTGTTTGTCTGTTAAATCCAGAGCAGAGCAGCAGGAGAAGTCCAGTCTGTGGTGATGAGCCGAGAGAAGGGCATCTGCTGCCTCCTGCTGGAGATCAGAGGAACTGCAGCAATGAAGCAGCTTCAGCAAAATCACACACATGCATTACTAAACAGTCATGTTTATTATGATATCAGTGCTGTTATATCAGTATAAACCTGAGTTGTGTGACTGCTGAGTAAAGGCAGAAAGCTCTCTTGCGCCTCCTCTGGTATGGAGGTCCAGAGCAGATTGAGTTTGACAGTGTTGCAGTGCTGTAGAGTGAAGTGCAGGGCAGCGCAGTGAACAGGGTCCAACACTCGGCCATTCAGGTTGATGTCGTTTCCTATTGAACTCATCAGACTGGACACATACTGAGGAAAATGAGTCTCATAAATCTCCATAATGATGGACAGAATAAAGCTGGGGCTCAACCTGTGGAGAATAAGATCACTCGATGAAATCCACTTGAATCAAAGGCACTCAATAAATACAAATTCTCAAACTGACAAGTAAACTACAAGCAACTTTAATGACTTCAATGGATGCAATTTAACTCTTTAGTCATGATGTAAATTTGTAGGTTGACCCAAAAAACCAATTTGACATGGAAATTGGTAAAAGGAGAAGTAAACAAGTAAAAGTAAATCCTGTGTCTACGATATAAAACATAGTTTGACCTCAGTTCCAGTTAAGTTTCAGTTAACTATATAAGAACTACAACTACCACAATGATGTTAGCTTAATGTGCCTGACATATCAGAAAACTGTAGTTCTTGCTTGAAACGTGTTTTTAAAGTGCACAATGGTTTCAACAAACAAACTCACATTTAAGGAATGACTGTGTATACGAATGAGCACTTTGTCATTAGTAAGTGACAAGATTTTGCTTTGAGTCTTTTGTGATCAGTGAAAGCTCATCTGTGGTCAGTGGAAATGGACCCTTAAATGATGCTCTGACCATCTTCACTAACATTCTGTCTTCCAAACTGTCAAAAACAAAATCAAAGATCGTGAGAAACATTCACATCATATTTTAGGATGTGTCATTCTATCACAGGAGTGATTTAAACAGTTTATAGAAAAGCTTGAGGTATCTCAGACCTCTGCAGGTGTTTGATGTGTTTGAAGATCAGTTTGAGTCCTCTGAGAGAAATGGCTTGTGGCTTTAGAGTCAGGTTTAGTTTTGAGGCTGAAAGATCCAGAACTCTCCCCACAGATCTGCAGGTGCTGCTGGGTAATTTTCCATTCAGAGTCATGGTGAAGTCCAAAGCCTGGAGCAGAGGAGTCACCTGATCTGCCTTCATTCTGGGTCCAAACACTTTACATAGAGATGGAATGAACCGCTCTGCATTCCTACAGGACAATCATATACAAAGTAAATATTTGCAATAATATACAATTTTCCTGCCCTGGTAATATTCAAGCATTTTGTTCGTCTTGTCTTAAGTTAAAATATTTACTGTATAAAGCGCATGTTTATAATATGTGGTGGAAAAAGCTTAACGTCTTATTTACAATAGTCAAATAGACGGCAGTATTTATCAGAGCTCAGTTGTGAGATGTAGGGCAGACACTGAAGTAATCCTCTAATCACCTGATTTGAAGTGTATCAGTCACACAGGATTAGTTTTTAGGATTTGTGTATGTAAATTAATTGTTGTTTCAGATGTTACCTGCAAAGTTTATGGTCTTTTTGGACAGGAAAAGCAATATATTGAAAAGTCCTATATGTCTGTGCTAATCATTTTACGCCGGACTGCCTCACAAACGAGGGTCAGTTCAGCGCTGGAGTTGTGCAAAGGTTGCTTCTGAAAGAGGGATCGATACCAACGTTTCCTGCGCAAACGTCCAGACTACAGACAAAGTAAGCATCACGCGTCATATTTTGTTTTCCAAAATAGCTTCTTGGCTCTCTGTAAGACTAATGTTGCTAAAACTACCATTGTCTCTGCCTGTTTTCACTGATGCTGCCTTCACATACTTCCAGAATGATCGTAAATAGGAATCATAAAAAATTAAAAATGATGCATATATAACACATCATAAAAAATGATGCATAACACAGTAAAAGTTAAGCAGACTTTTTTACATTTAACAATCCTGCATGGCGTCAACATGGCATTCTAAAGTACAAAAAAAAAAAAAACAGAAAGACAAATAAGGCAGGAACATACCACAGTGGTTTCAGCATGTAACAGACATCCATAATAAACAAGATACAGAGTTATAGTTTTATGATACAATAATTACAATACATACATTCAAAACCAGGAAACATGAGGGCAGTCACTTTCCCTTTTCTGCTGCCCATCTCTTCCTTTCAGCCTCATAAAAGGAAGACTGACAGAACTCTCCCCAAGTCATCTCGTGAGTCATCCCCTCTGTCCGATATAGGGAAAACACTCTGGCAGGACAATAGACATATTTCCCTGCCACACCAGGGAACCCAGTATGTGTGTGTGGACTCTCTGGGCCTTCTTTGAATGGCTTGTGGCAGAACCTACAGAGGCGACCAGTGGGATGCTGCTCCATGGCCTTTCTCTTTCTCCGCTCCTCCATTACCCGTCTTGCCTCTGCAGAACACTGCTTTGCAGCCTGTAGCTCTCATTTAAAAAAAGGTGTTTCAGCAAAGTCATTTGACGGATTGGTGAGGCCTTCCGCTGCATACATCTGGTATACCTTTTTAGAGCAGTAAAAGTACTTCACGATCCCAGACTGATAAAAAAAATGAATGGAGGAGCCATCACCAAGGTAACGTGACTTTGGCTGGCCACAAGCAAGACAGTTCCGTGTCCTCTTTGTAACAGGCTGCTGTTGCTGTTGCTTCTCCACAATCTCTTTCACCATTTGTTCAATCTCACCCTTAGTTAGCAGGAACTCCTGGGGCTTATTACTGGGTGGGTTCACTGTGGGACCAGTGGAACACTTACAGTTTCACTACCTCCTGTGAGGCGATGCCACAGCTGCTGGGTCTCCAGGAGTTTCTCTGAACTGGTGTTCAGGGATGAACTTGTGTTCGTTATCTTGGCCAGGTTTTTCACATAACGTGAGATATGCTGTTTCGTGGTGGGGTGTAAGAGGCTATTGGGATAGCCTTCAGAAATCATTCTAATATGCTGATTTGCTGCTCAACAAACATTTCTCATTATTCTTATCAATGTTGAAAACAGTTGTGTACATTTTTATTCAGGATTATTTGATGAATAGAAAGTTCAAAAGAACAGCATTGATCTGAAATATAAAGCATTTGGAACATTATAAATGTCTATACTGTCACGTTTGATCACTTTAATGCATCCTTGCTGAATAAAAGTATTCATTTCTTTCATTACTTTCCCCCCAAAAAAGAAAAAAATCTTACTGACCCCAAACTTTTGAACGGTAGTGATAATGTTACAAAAGCTTTCTATTAACAATACGATTACATGATAATACACATGCAATTTAAATGATAAATATATAAATGATAATGTATATACAATACAGTAAGTTAGTATTGCTAAAGTATAGCATTCAACTTACCTCCTCGGTTTGTCACCTAAATTGCGTTATTTAAAAACAGCAGTCACCATAGGTAAAATCTGTCTTAAGGTAGTTTAGACAGGAAATATTTGTTGTCCAAAACAAGTTTTTTTTTTAAATCTGACAATTCGGTAAACAAATAGCCTACCTCTCCGATCGTAAAGCGGGTCTCCCCTCCTCCACTGAGAATGATTGACAGATGACACTGGGCTTCACGGAAAAGATGAAACAGCGCCATGAAGTCTACGTGTGGCCAAAAGTATATTGCATCCGTAGTGTTAAGCACTACCATAGAGAATGAATGGGAAAAGTTAAGGGAAATTAAACTGAGCCACTTTCTGTTTATTTTTATTGATCATTAGAAGGGTGCATTGTAACATACAAGCCTTTATAGATAGGCACGCCAGGTCGATGCTGATTTGCGATGTATTTGATTTTTATATAACAGTTCAATTTTCAGTGTGATGAATACGATTGCTAAATCCCATTGTTTTCAGTCCATATCTGAAGCAGAACATCAAAACCATGCGGTGGGAACTGCTTGAAACTAAAACGCCATGCATCACAGCGCGTTGGTGGTATAGTGGTTAGCATAGCTGCCTTCCAAGCAGTTGACCCGGGTTCGATTCCCGGCCAACGCAAATTATAATTTGATTTTAAAACGCTCCAGTGAATCCTTAATAGCTAAACGAATTCATTATGCAAAACATCCAAGTCTTTCAGTGTTCTATTAATAAACGCTTATACAAATATCTTTTAACATAATCTATTCAGCGTTCCGAATCTCACTTGGCTTGAGAGACTCTGCAGCCCCGCCTCTCTCCCAAAATCGAGACTAGTGTTCAGAAACAGCTGATCGTGCGAGGCAGAGGAGCATCACAGTCGCAATGTCATCCGAGGAGCTCGCACGGAAGCTGCAGCGCAGGCTGGACGCCGAGCAGCGTGACCCCAAACCCGGCTCACCGGCGCAGACAGGAGCGGACGAAGAGCAGCCGTCGCCGGTGAGACCCAGCACTGCCGTGAACGGCGACGCCAGCTCTGAACTGACGGAGAAACTCGCCCGCAGGCTGGACATCCACGACGGCACAGCGAAACCCAATCAGATGAAGGTTTTCAACCCCTACACCGAGTTTAAAGAGTTCTCGCGCAAGTATATTGCATCCGTAGTGTTAAGCACTACCATAGAGAATGAATGGGAAAAGTTAAGGGAAGTTAAACTGAGCCACTTTCTGTTTATTTTTATTGATCATTAGAAGGGTGCATTGTAACATACAAGCCTTTATAGATAGGCACGCCAGGTCGATGCTGATTTGCGATGTATTTGATTTTTATATAACAGTTCAATTTTCAGTGTGATGAATACGATTGCTAAATCCCATTGTTTTCAGTCCATATCTGAAGCAGAACATCAAAACCATGCGGTGGGAACTGCTTGAAACTAAAACGCCATGCATCACAGCGCGTTGGTGGTATAGTGGTTAGCATAGCTGCCTTCCAAGCAGTTGACCCGGGTTCGATTCCCGGCCAACGCAAATTATAATTTGATTTTAAAACGCTCCAGTGAATCCTTAATAGCTAAACGAATTCATTATGCAAAACATCCAAGTCTTTCAGTGTTCTATTAATAAACGCTTATACAAATATCTTTTAACATAATCTATTCAGCGTTCCGAATCTCACTTGGCTTGAGAGACTCTGCAGCCCCGCCTCTCTCCCAAAATCGAGACTAGTGTTCAGAAACAGCTGATCGTGCGAGGCAGAGGAGCATCACAGTCGCAATGTCATCCGAGGAGCTCGCACGGAAGCTGCAGCGCAGGCTGGACGCCGAGCAGCGTGACCCCAAACCCGGCTCACCGGCGCAGACAGGAGCGGACGAAGAGCAGCCGTCGCCGGTGAGACCCAGCACTGCCGTGAACGGCGACGCCAGCTCTGAACTGACGGAGAAACTCGCCCGCAGGCTGGACATCCACGACGGCACAGCGAAACCCAATCAGATGAAGGTTTTCAACCCCTACACCGAGTTTAAAGAGTTCTCGCGCAAACAGATCAAAGACATGGAGAAAATGTTCAAGAGGTCAGTTCATTAATCAACACCATTTAAAACCCACCCACTGTCGTTATCATATATATTTATCTAAATTAAGATTTATCCAAGTTAATGAAGCATTTAACTGGTATTTGGTCATTATTTTAGGTCATTACAACTAAGAGTGAAGTTTGTGTGCTTGTGTGCGTCAGAGATTTCTGGGATCATTGTGTTCTTGGATCAGAATGAATGATGCTTCTTTTAAATGAAATCCCTCGTTTATTATTTTTGATCTTTTGTCTTTTATTTTCTTGATAGTTATTTTATCTTAATAATTGTATTACATTTTAATTTAAATTTTAAATTTTATTTACTGTGCTTTATTTCCATTAAAAGTGTATTGAGTTTAAAATTTAATTGTAAGTAAAACAGTGTGAATGGAGTAAACAGGTAGTTTTAGGATAGTATAAAAATATAAAACAATGCAGTGCATAAAATAAAAAATTAACACTATGAGGAAAATAAAAATGAATATGAATGTAACATTGAGGTAAAAAAATAACTATAGTGACAGGTGCATTTATATTGTAAAAGCATTGAAAAATAAATAAAATTATGCACATGGAGAATTATTTACCAAAAATATAGTGAGTGTAAAATAACAAGAAATGAACAATAGATTCTGAAGCTAATGTTAAATTAACATGAATGCTCTCTCTGAGCATCCTTGTACAGTGCCAAAATAATGCTTTGCTCTGGGGTCTCTCTCTCTGAACAGCCATTGTCCTGCTTTCCCTCATTATTTCAGTACAAGGGTCCACTCACAAACTCTGCGTCCCCATGGAACCCACGCCATGAGCAACAATGCCATCTTTGTCTGTTTGTGCGTGTGTTTAAATGCAGGGACTTGGAGGAGTCTATGATGAGAGGGAGTCTCTTTGGTTACATGCAGAGTTGTGAAAAAATAAAATCCCTTCATTCATTTTTATCATATCATTGGATTTTTTTATTCATTTAATCCCATCAAATTCAGAACCGGGTCTCTTGTAGTGCATCAAAACCCTCCAGATAATAACAAATGGCAAACAATCCAGTGTTTCATGCCGTTTCACCTCAGAGACTTTGATTCTGCATGTCATCCTCTGCTACCAGGTCATGATTTTTCCAGAGTTATGCACACATAAGCATGTTAACAGATTTGTTTTTAGCTGATCCCAAGGTTACTTATGCCTTACAGAGACTTTACGATGAGGTAGATGTTTTCTTGTACTGTAAATAAAATAGTTCTAATGTTTTGCACTTTGCTTCATTAACAGTAACGCTCAGTCAAGTCTATTTGATTATACTGTGTTATAGGAAAATAACCCAAACTGTATAGGATATGAAAGTGTGGATGTCCCATAAGACTAGGTTACGTCAGGACCGAAAGGTGTGTCTGTTTAAGTCATAGAAGTACATACTCTGGCCCACTTCAGATCAGTTCAACCCAGTTTCATCAGAGATGAAAAAGATGTCATATATAAGAGGAAAATGGGTCAAAAGCAGAGTTAACACATTTATAAACACAACTTACAAACCTACACACTTCTGAATTAGCACACTACCCTGAAGAGATAGATAGATTTTTTTTTTTAAAGAAATGAATGCTTTTATTTAGCAAGGACATTTAGAATGTTAGGAAAGATTTCTATTTGCTTTTCTTTTGAACTTTCTATTCATCAAAAAATCATGAAAAAAAAACATATCACAGTTTTTGCAAAAATATGAAGCTGCGCAACTGTTTCCAACTTTGATAACAATAATAAAAAAATGTTTCTTGAGCATCAAATCAGAATATTAGAATGATTTCTGAAGGATCATGTGACATTGAAGACTGGAGTAATGATGCTGAAAATTCAGCTTTGCGTCACAGGAATAAATTAGATTTTAAAATATATTCAAACAGAATACAGTTGTTTTAAATTGAAATAATATTTCACAGTATTACAGTATTTATAATCGAATATCTAATTATTTCTTTGTATAAGTGTGCATATTTCTTTATTTTCTCCATTCAAGCCTCTTTAGCACAGGGAGGGCTGTTGACCTGGAATGTGTCTGGCATGCAGAGGGCAGGACCAATATGCCAACCTCATCCTCCTCTTTCTGTTTGTTATTCTCCCTTTCTCTCTCTCTCATTCACTTTCTCTCACATACCAGGTCAGTCTTGTTAACCCTGACCTGTTTCATGCTGCTTCATATAGTTCATAATAGCCGTTCTCAGCATATCTGCGGTTCTAAGCAGATCTGGGATCTGTTACTGGACTGCAGTGCTCTGAATGCCAGGCTCTATAGCTGAATCTCTGCCCCGAGCCTTGGCATCTATAAATACCACAGCAGGAAACCAGAGAGGACAAAAAGAGCGTCCACACACAAACACATGCGATGCACCCGCAATTACATCAGGGCAGTTTGTGTTTTCATGCATCCACGCACATTTCAGGGCTGTGTGTGTAGGAGTGTGTTGCCAGTTGCTGAAAGCAGTTGCTGTTCTGGTCAGCAGATTCCCAGTTGTCTTTTAATCAGGGCAGGCAAGTGTGAGCATGTCTTAGTGGGGGCTGTTAAAACAGCATCGAACAAAGAAAGAAAGTGAGGATGTTGCGTGAAATGGTTAATAAATTGGCTTTTATGCAGCACTTTAACAGTGAAGGTTGAGCTATTTATGACCTTTCAGAAACAATGAGCTAAGGAGATGAGATTAGACGGCCATTCAGAGCAAAGATATGAAACACTCACATACCAGGTCAGTCTTGTTAACCCTGACCTGTTTCATGCTGCTTCATATAGTTCATAATAGCCGTTCTCAGCATATCTGCGGTTCTAAGCAGATCTGGGATCTGTTACTGGACTGCAGTGCTCTGAATGCCAGGCTCTATAGCTGAATCTCTGCCCCGAGCCTTGGCATCTATAAATACCACAGCAGGAAACCAGAGAGGACAAAAAGAGCGTCCACACACAAACACATGCGATGCACCCGCAATTACATCAGGGCAGTTTGTGTTTTCATGCATCCACGCACATTTCAGGGCTGTGTGTGTAGGAGTGTGCTGCCAGTTGCTGAAAGCAGTTGCTGTTCTGGTCAGCAGATTCCCAGTTGTCTTTTAATCAGGGCAGGCAAGTGTGAGCATGTCTTAGTGGGGGCTGTTAAAACAGCATCGAACAAAGAAAGAAAGTGAGGATGTTGCGTGAAATGGTTAATAAATTGGCTTTTATGCAGCACTTTAACAGTGAAGGTTGAGCTATTTATGACCTTTCAGAAACAATGAGCTAAGGAGATGAGATTAGACGGCCATTCAGAGCAAAGATATGAAACACCCTGATAAACATTCACATTGTCTCAGATGTTTCTCTTTGAAATACAAAATAATAGATTTGATTTAATACATTCAATGTGTATCGCAGGTTAGATAATTAGTAACATTTAATGCATTTGAGAAATTGTTTGTCCAAAAATGAAAATTTCCTGAGAATGTACTCACCCTCAGGCCATCCAAGATGTAGATGAGTTAGTTTTTTCATCCCATTTGGATAAATTTAGCATTACATCACTTGTTCACCAATAGATGCTCTGCGGTGAATGGGTGCCGTCAGAATGAGACTCCAAACAGCTGATAAAAACATCACAATAATCCACAAGTAATTCACACCACTCCAGTCCAGCAATTAATGTCTGAAATGAAGTGAAAAGCTGTGTGTTTGTAAGAAACTAATCCATCATTAGGGTGTTTTACTCTCAACCATCGTTTCTGGCCAAAATATGAGTCCATAATTCATAGTAATTAATAAAAGTCCAATTTCCTGTTGTCTCTCACCTTAATATTCACCAGCATATTTGTTTAAAACTAGACTGTTTTCACTTGCAAACAGTGCTTGATCTGTGTATATTTCTCCCCTGATTCAGACTAGATTACTTTTTCAATGGTGAAAGCAATATTATGGAAAGTGCACTCATATTTTAGCCTGAACAAATGGTTTTAAGTTTATTCACAGATTTTCAGTTCACAAGACATTAATTGCTGGACTGGAGTGGTGTGGATTACTTGTGGATTATTGTGATGTTTTTATCAGCTGTTTGGACTCTCATTCTGACGGCACCCATTCACCGCAGAGGATCCATTGGTGAGCAAGTCAGATAATGCTATACATTTCATAATGAGATCACTTCTAACAACCATGTGAGATTATTGTGACTTTTTTCAGAAGTAAAATCTGGCTTTCTCTCTTTTGCTGTATAGGTGAATATAAATGCGATCTCATTCATGCTTTTCTTGACCTATATGGAGAGGGAGAGAAGTAGAGATGAGGTGATGTTCACCTGTACTTTTCTGCCACAATGAGCAAGTTCTTTCTAAAAGCATCACTCGAACCAAAATAGAAACACGTGCCCACTCCTTCAATCTCAGCCTCTTCACTTTCACACGATGTTCAAGGCAAACACTTCTCTCTCTCTCTTTCTCTCGCACGCGCACAAGGGAGAGAAGTAGAGATGAGGTGATGTTCACCTGTACTTTTCTGCCACAATGAGCAAGTTCTTTCTAAAAGCATCACTCGAACCAAAATAGAAACACGTGCCCACTCCTTCAATCTCAGCCTCTTCACTTTCACACGATGTTCAAGGCAAACACTTCTCTCTCTCTTTCTCTCGCACACACACACACACACACACACACGCGTTCTTGCTGGTTGGTGTGGCAACAGCTGGATGAGACTCTATAAATACTCTCCTCTGTTAGAATCTCTTTTTCCTGCTGTTTCTGTCTTCACTCTCCACCTGCTGTTCTGCTGGCCTCCCTCTGCTGAGACTGGATAAATCTTCATGTCAACACTCACTTCTGAGTGTCGCTAGTGTAGGTTGATGTAATACATATGCTAGAATGCAATTTGCATTGATAAAATGGTCTGAAACAGCATATAGCATTCAAAAGTGTGGGGTCGGTCAGATTTTGTAATGAGCAAAAGTCTCTTATGCTCACCAAGGCTGCATTTATTTGATCAAAAATACAGTGAAAACAGTAATATTGTGAAAAGGTATTTTAGTTTTCTGTTGTAATATTTAGTAAATTGTAATTTATTCTTGTGATGCAAAGCTACATTTTCAGCATTATTACTCTAGTCTTCAGTGTCACGTGATCAAATGTAAATATTCAATTTTAGTTTAATTTAAATATTTAAATCGTTTTACTAATAATGCTCATTTTTATTTACTGATTGTGATGAAATTAATTGTCATCGTAATGGAAAAAGAGTACAAAGAGAGTGTTATCAATACTTTACTTTTAGGTGAACTATTCCTTTAAATCATTTTTTACATGTGTTTGTGTGTAGATTTGACTCTGGTAAAGACGGCTTCATTGATCTGATGGAACTGAAGCTGATGATGGAGAAACTTGGAGCTCCACAGACACATCTGGGCTTGAAGAACATGATCAAGGAGGTGGATGAAGATTATGACGGCAAACTCAGTTACAGAGAGGTGTGTGTGTGTATATATGCGTGTGTCTTTTTCACGGTTACAGCTTTGTTAAGTCTATCATCGCCCCTGATGACTGATTTAATCTAGTGATTCAATCTTTTGAGAGATTACACTCCATGCAAACACTTTAGACTCACCTGCTCAGATGATCCGATCACAGCACGTTTGTGAGAGATAACAGCTCTGATGTGGCTTCACATTTAAATGTCAATCGCATTTAGTCACACTAGATGATTTTCACCTGACAAATATACAATACTACAAATTTAAAATGAAAATAATAATAATATATAGTATTATTATTAATTAAGTATTCTATAAGTATTTAAGTTCTAAAGTGTGTATATGGGTCAAAGACGAAATGGGTTTTCAAGCCTACAAACAATAAAAGCTTTGTTTTATTTGATTTATTTTAGTGCTGTCAAACGATTAATCGCGATTAATCGCATCCAAAATAAAAGTTTTTGTTTACATAATATATGTGTGTGTACTGTGTATATTTATTATGTATATATAAATACACACACAGACAGCATATATTTTGAAAATATTTACATGTATTTACATGTATATATTTATATTCATATAAATTATATAATCAATAAGTATATTTAATATATAAATGTAACATATTTTTCTTAAAAATATACATGCATGTATGTATTTATATATTCATAATAAATATACACAGTACACACACATGTATTATGTAAACAAAAACTTTTATTTTGGATGCGATTAATCGCGATTAATCGTTTGACAGCACTAATTTATTTCTATTAATTTTAATTTTGAGCAAAAAAAAAAAAAAAAAGATTATTATACATTTTTACCATGATTTACAAAAGACACCCAGTTAAATATCATTCAACGTAACATTAGTTCATATACCAAAACAAAGAACAAAAATGAATGAGATGACATTAAAAAAAGTATCAAAGTTCAGCCCACTCAAAAATACTAATTCATTGTAATTTTAAATATTTCCAAATCTTTGCCACTATCTTTCAAAATACTAGGTTTTTCCAATTTGTCATCAAGAAGTATGTAATCATTTAAAATATGATAAAGTTTTGTATGATCACTTTTTCTTTTATTTATTTCAGTAAGTACAGGTCAGAATAAGTATGGTTCATTTTTACATAAATATGTGTTACACTGAATTACAATGGAATGTTGAAATTTTGCCCATATTTTGACAAATTACATCAGTTTTTACTTTTTTTAAAGTTTTTACTACAAAAACACCTTATCAGTTTTTTAAATGTGACCCCCAACACAAAAACAGGTGACAGTGCAGCTGTGTGTTCAGTACAGTCAGTCTGTTGTGTGTCTGTGGTGTCTCTCTCATTCTTCAGATTGGACAGACATTCCACATGGATAAGATTACACACACACACACACACACACACACACACATAGGTCAGAGAAAGGGGGGAAACCCGATATAAGGTCACTCTTTTGACCTCTCCCTTCCCCTCAATGAAATCAGTTCTGTTTGGACATGATCTAAAATTAACTTACATAAAATTGCACTTAAATTTTAACAATCAAAATTACATTTGAAAGAATCTACTCTTTAGTATTTACTGTGTAGCTGTTAAAAGGAAAGATCTGCTGTATCTTTCAGTTTGGGAAATCAAAACAAAGCTGAATTGATGGTTTATATATGCTGACACAGCAACCGATATCAGAATCTTTTGTGTTTATTTTTAGAATTGCATAGAAATGCACACACTGCTTCTCCAACCTCACACCTATGTGTAATCAAAACCACAGCCGAACACTGAACAAGTAGCATTAGCGTTATTAGCCGCTTACAGCTATCCTGAAATATGCATGAGGAATTTGTTTCGTGGGTGACGGCTGAGGAGAAGACGAGATGACGCCAGTGAAATTTCAGGAGACTTCTAATGTAGGACTTAAACTCTAATAGACTAGATTGTGCTTCTATTTTAATCTAAGCAACTATATATTTTTTAGAAGCAAAAAAGTTTATTGTAAAGTAATGAGTTCTATAGTATTTTGTCGCACCACGCCACTCGCGTCCGGTGTAGACACGGTGTAACATTGGTTTTGCTTTGTTTCACAGAACTAATCGTTGCCTGGGTTGCGTATGTATGTGTGGGCCGGAGCTATCAAAATAGGGGTGAGACCCTTTTGGGGTAGGGGCGTGTTTATGTTTTGGTGATTTTAAATGTCAACATTGGCTACCAGAAATCGCTTACCCCAGCTTTAATAGGGGTGTTGATGAACACTTTAAAGGTATAGTTCAACCAAATATAAAAAAGGTCATTTTATTTCCATTGAGTGTTTAATAATAATAAGTGCTGCAGGGATGACATATTTTTTGTAGGCCAAAACCCAGAAACAAGCATTTGGTTGACTTCTGGTTTCTGAAGCCAGTGGGTTTTTTGATTGGGTTTTTGGTTAAATGCCTAAATTTAAGTCTGTGGTTAACACAAGCTCAAGATATTTTACCTTCCAGAGTTTAACAATCATGCTTTATACATATAATAATAAAGTGAAAGCAGTCAGTCTTTCCTGATTGACAGTACATGTGCATAATCACCTACAGAGTAAAAATCATACAGTGTTCTGCCACCAATAGGATTGTGCTAATTTTTTATTTGTTTTATTGCATAGATTGCATTGCACTGATAATATTGAGATTTTCTTACCCAAAAATAATCTAGTAAATAATCTATTTATCTATATACTTTATTATTTACATCACTGTTAATGTTCAGTTCAATATTCAATGTCTTCATCCAAAAGTCCATTTCATGACTTTGGTGGAAAAAAAAAAAGTTTGTCAGTAGGCACTTAAAGGTGGGGTAAGGGATTTTTCAAAAATGCTTTAGAAAACTGATTCGGGCAGAATAGCAACCATTGAGTGTTTAATAATAATAAGTGCTGCAGGGATGACATATTTTTTGTAGGCCAAAACCCAGAAACAAGCATTTGGTTGACTTCTGGTTTCTGAAGCCAGTGGGTTTTTTGATTGGGTTTTTGGTTAAATGCCTAAATTTAAGTCTGTGGTTAACACAAGCTCAAGATATTTTACTCTACGACATAAAAATCCTCTAGTAATACTCCTTTGTTTTTTTTGTTTTTTTAAAATCTTTCACTTGTCTTCAAAAAGGAGGTTGCTAACAAGTGTCTAAATGAGACTACAGAGGCTGATCACGACATTAAACGTCAGTGTGCCACACAGATAAACTTATCTTCTCACTTCTAGTCTGCTTTTACAGCCTCTGTGTTTATAATCACGCTATTGCAAGCTATTTTAACTCAGACGTTTAGGGAAAATGTTATAAATAAAGACTGAAAGAGTTGTTGTAAGCTTAATGGTGCAAGTCATGCGACCATGGTGTAAGAATAATAAACTTTTGTTGACCACCGACTTCCATTTATGCAATAATCCAAAAAACTGTGGAAAAATGCAATTGGGTTTTTGTCGAGGGAACCAGAGTGAACTTCAGAGTTGGCCTACAAAAATACATCATCACTGCAACGCTCTATATGAATAAATGAACATCCACTTCTGTAGAGTACATGATGACAGAGTTTTCATTTTTGGTTGAACTATCCCTAACATATAGTTGGTTTAAAATACTTCATGGACAAGGACGATCCTTGTCTGTGTAGCCAGTGCTGGGTAGTAACAGAGTAATCTGGACGATGTAATCAGATTCTCTAATTAGATTATATTACATTTTAAAATGCTCATAATCGGATTACAGTTACTTTTTTATAGTTTACATGATTACTTATTCACACAATGGCAGTAAATTATTCATAATTTCATTTGCCCTAATTTCTTTTTTCGCTCTCTCTTAAATTTTTCTGTCTTCCTCTCTATTCCTAATTCTACTGCGTTTATACATTTGGGAAGTCTTCCAGCTTTTCATCAATTCACAAACCCCCTGTAGTTCATTCACAAATCCCTGGCTTAATGTAATGTTTAAAACATTTCATGATGTTGACAACAAAGAATGGAATATATTTTAGGTCAAAAGTAATCTAAAAGTAATCTGAATACATTATCTGATATGTGTAATCCAATAGATTACATTACAAACTATCATTTCCATCATGTAATTTGTAATCAGTAACGGACTACAATTGGTAAGGAATCTACCCAGCACTGTGTGTAGTGCTTTAATAATTTATATTTTGAAAACGGGCCCTTCTGACACAGATACATACATTACAGGTACCGCAGTGACATTGTCCAAGCACCGAACATATAAGGGCTTAAACTGGTGGTTTTGTGGTGTCAGTGGATTCAGGGTCACTTACAATTATTGGAGAGTCCTCTTATTGCCAACAAGATCTTAAGCAGCCATCACTCATCTGTGTTGCTCTGGAAAACACAAATGTGTCCGTAGCAGCAAAAATGGTTTTGATGGGTTTCTAACGGGACGGGTTGACATATCAGATCATAACTAACTGAGGTTGTCTTTTGGGATAAAAAGTCATAAACTGGAGGTTGTGTTGTGAAATGAAATGCCCTTTTCATGAGCAGAGAATTCTTATGAAATCATACACCCTTGCATAAAAATAAAGCACTGCTACTCCACCCGGTCACTGCCTTCTCCGTTGATCTGGACCACCACATGCTCTTTCTCCAGTGCGTCGCCGGTGTGTGTGTTTGGGAGCGTGAGCGGACAGGGCTGCGTGTCAAAATAACGCATGCTTTCGGCTTTGCTCCGGCCTTTGCCGTACCGAGACGTCACCTTAGTGAAGCAGCTGCCGTACTGGATCTCGTCGGGCAGGTAGGACGTCCTCTTATGGTAGCCGGAGCCTGTACTCTCCTGAGAAGCGGTGAGGAACACCACCAGCTCGAAGTGTTTGGTGCTTGGGGCGTTGTTTAGAGGGCTGGCTGGAGTTAGAGGTTGATAAAAGGTCAGAGGTGACAGGAAAAGAGGGCAAGGTCGTGACCCCAGGTTATCGACGCTGAATTCCATCGCGGTTTGGTGGAGTTCGTGGTCGTCACGTTCTTCGTAGAGAACGGCGCTCACACACACGTCCACCAGCGGCCGTGGAAGCAGGTTACAGACGCGGAACATCAGGCAACGCTGACCTCTGTCCTCACACACTACGGCCTGAGGGCTGAACAGGATCCCACCGCAGCGCTTTTGAGGGCGGGAGAATTTAGCCACAAATGCACCTGAGCAGTGACAGAAAAAAGAATTTGGATGAAAAGGAATTGAAATAAAAACAAAATGCTCTAAATAAATCTGCAAAATAAATGATTGAATAAGAAAATACTTTATAATAATAATAGCAATAAAAAATTTGTACATTTTATTTTATATATATATATATATACAGTGTATGGACAAACTTTGATGATAAAAAAAAGCTAAATAAAACTCCAAAATAAATGATTTAACTAAAAAGGTAAATAAATTACATGCTAATAATAATAATAATAATAATAATAATAATAGTTTATTTTTAGAGAAGGTAAGTTTGTCAAGACAAACCTTGCCACAAATGTACTGAGAAGAGAGAATTTATTTTTTATTTTTTTATAAATCTTTATAAATTGTTTAGAGACAGAAATGTCACTAAATGTATTTATTTATTTATTTTTACCTACTTTATATATACATGGGCAAGAATGAAAAAATAAAGAAAACGTAATTTCCCAAAATACAATTATCTGTTGCCATTGTATGAATTGTGATTAGTGAATTCCACTTCCTGTCATTCCAATTAAACTTCCTGTTCACACTCATAATTCTTAAATTCTGAATTTTGTGCAATCCTGGTCAAAACTCCTAAAGTGGCCATTGGTTTGACTGGTTTACCTGAGCAGTCAGCCCCTGCTGGTAGATTCTGTAACTACACGTTTTTCTACATTTTTTTCTTCACTTGACAGCCAATACATTTTTTTGTAAGCTAAGGTTTCATTATATTCTAGTAAATGTTCTTAAAAAGTATGCATGGATTTTTCCCTGTTTGCTGTCTTTTGTATCAAAGCACCGGATATTTGCTATAAAAGAGTGATTAGTCACATGACACCTGCAGCTCAACTGATTGGCTCACAAAACCTGTCTGCAGAACTGAGCCAAGATGGCAGCATGCAGATTGTGTACTGCACTCCTGGGCCACCAGTACAGAAACCCATTATTAAAACCCATCCCATCAAGATGAATGGGAATGTTAACGGATGGCTTTCTAAGGGTATTACAGAGCCCCTTGATAACATTGCCATCTTGGAAAGTTTATGCTGCTTCTTTCTGGCTGCATTTGTAAGTTCACTTACAGTATTTGTGTTTATGGGTGGCTTAAAAAACTAAAATTCTAAAGTAGGATCAAGTACCCCTGATTTCAGTGCATACTGTTACATCCATTTATATTTTCTAGTTCAATAGCAGGGCATCTACAGGTCCTTCTGCATTTCTTCTGAGGGCTTCAGTAACAGGATTGTCTGCTTTACAAAGCCAGAATTGTGATGCGTTTACATTTACCCTATAGTTCAGAGGCAAAGAACTCGTGATAAGTTTTATTTAGTATATACACTATCAAAGAGTCTTTTACTGGTGTTTTGCTTAAAGCGTGTGAACTCAGTCCCATGACTGATTCTACATATATCTGAAGTCTTTATCTATAGGTCATTGTGAGATTTTCTGAGGTAACTAGGTAATAATAAAGAGTTAATAATATGTTGACTTCAGACTTTAAGTTACAGTTTGGTTTACCTATAAACAGGACAACGTGCTGAAAAATTCAACAGATATACAGTATGATGATATCTGGTTTAAGCACTGGAAATGCGTGAGTTATGTGCTTATTCTATATGTTTTCTGGTTGAAAAGCAGTTTAAAATCCTTAATGTAAAACCCATACACACACATTGGTTGGTAAACATTTTACATAAACATCTGATATATATAATACATACAGTGTGTGTGTGTGTGTGTGTGTGTAAATAAATATGCATGTTAACATGATTTTAGTGGGATTTTTTACTGGCCTTTCTGTGTATTACACCAAAAAGTCTGAAACAAATGAAGATTTAAACAGATTAACAACTCAAATAATACGTTTTAATAGAAGAGGTAGGTTTTTCTTTCTTTTTTGAGGTGCTAATAATTATAATAAAGCATTTGCTAGAATGAATAGAATGAAAATTTAAAATTTGAATTTAGAAAATTAAAAAAATAGAATAAAAATGAACTAAAAAACTACAAACAGAATTATTTAAATGAAAATTAATCAAAGCTATATAGAAATATTTGTAAAAAAAAAAACTAATATAAATGACAAAAGCACATAACAAGATTACTAAAACTTTACAAATTAAATTAAATAAAACTGAAACTGAAAAAATATAAAAACAACTAATATAAAATATGAATTTAAAATATATATGAAATAAAATGAAAATAGGAAATTAGCATTTTAGGAAATAGAATAAAAAGGAACTAAAAAACTGCAAATAGAATAATTCAGTAAATAAATAAAATTAATCATAGTAAAATATTACTTGCTTAATTTGTTATATATATAATATATATATATATATTAAAAAATGTAGGTTCGTCATTGTGCTTTTAAATCCTCACTGTACATTTTTTTTAATGCAGCTTTGATTTTTTTTTTTAATGCCAGGTGCTTGTTAATTAAGCTTTACTTGTTTTGAATCTGGAATATTCTTGTAAATTCCTCTAAACTAATTTAAAATCTATATTTCCAAGGAAAGTTGTATCTCTTATATAGGCTTCATGCAGTGAAGTAGAAGATTGCTGTGTGGTGGGTACCGGTGATGAAGGCCTCCAGCATGAGTCCCAGCAGCATCTGCAGGGCGAGCAGCGCTATGGCGGTCGGACAGTCAGCGTTGGGGTACATGGTGCCGTACCCGATGGTCAGCTGCGTCTCGAGGGCGAAAGAGAAGGCGGCGGTGAAGCCCGTCACGTGTTTGACACACAGCACATGACCGGGCGGTGGAGAGTCATGATCAGGCACCTCCAGGTCTCCGTTGACACGGGCCAGCAGGTACCACAACACCGCGAACAGCAGCCAGTGAAGAAGGAATGAACCACAGAACGCCAGCACCACCCATCGCCACCGCAGCGCCAGCCACGTTCCCCACATGTCCCGCAGGGCCCCGAACCACGTCTCTCTGGAGCCCGGGGCACTGCCTCGCATCAGGCTCCGGCCGTCCTTGCTGACCAGCCGCTGACGGGGAGGTTTGGTCATCAGGGGGCAGGAGACGGCCTTTTGGTCGCTGGTGGTGCTTGTCATGGTGATGGAAAGTTGGCAAGAGGCTCGCACCTAGAAAGGTGAGCAAAGAGCACCTCATATCAGCTCCACATGCTGCATTTCTACACTTTTGCAAATGAAAATCTGATGTTCGTAAAAGGAAAGTTCACCTCAAAAAATCAAAATAAAATTTCAAACACGTGTCAATCAAAATCTGTATGTTTACCTGCTATTTAGTTCTGAGAAACACAAAAGGAGACATTTTGAAGAATTTGTATGGAGGTTTATTATGCTCCAAACTTTTATTTGTGAGGAAACAGGCCTAAATTTGATTATTAGTGGAATATTTGACCCAAAAATGGGGATGGACTTTTTCACTGGGAAACGAACGAACGAACGAACGAACGAACGAACGGGCACCTCCAGGTCTCCGTTGACACGGGCCAGCAGGTACCACAACACCGCGAACAGCAGCCAGTGAAGCAGGAATGAACCACAGAACGCCAGCACCACCCATCGCCACCGCAGCGCCAGCCACGTTCCCCACATGTCCCGCAGGGCCCCGAAACACGTCTCTCTGGAGCCCGGGGCACTGCCTCGCATCAGGCTCCGGCCGTCCTTGCTGACCAGCCGCTGACGGGGAGGTTTGGTCATCAGGGGGCAGGAGACGGCCTTTTGGTCGCTGGTGGTGCTTGTCATGGTGATGGAAAGTTGGCAAGAGGCTCGCACCTAGAAAGGTGAGCAAAGAGCACCTCATATCAGCTCCACATGCTGCATTTCTACACTTTTGCAAATGAAAATCTGATGTTCGTAAAAGGAAAGTTCACCTCAAAAAATCAAAATAAAATTTCAAACACGTGTCAATCAAAATCTGTATGTTTACCTGCTATTTAGTTCTGAGAAACACAAAAGGAGACATTTTGAAGAATTTGTATGGAGGTTTATTATGTTCCAAACTTTTATTTGTGAGGAAACAGGCCTAAATTTGATTATTAGTGGAATATTTGACCCAAAAATGGGGATGGACTTTTTCACTGGGAAACGAACGAACGAACGAACGAACGAACGAACGAACGAACGAACGAACGAACGAACGAACGAACGAACGAACGAACGAACGAACGAACGAACGAACGAACGAACGAACGAACGAACGAACGAACGAACGAACGAACGAACGAACGAACGAACGAACGAACGAACGAACGAACGAACGAACGAACGAACGAACGAACGAACGAACGAACGAACAAACAAACAAACAAACAAACAAACAAATAGATAAATAAATATTATGGATAGAGCACTTGTATTTTAGCTAACTAAAACAAACTGTTAAAAATACATTTTTGTCATTGAAATAAAATCAAATGTTAATAATAGACTAAAAACTTAAAAAAGAAAGTAAAAAAAGAAAATTAGAACTGTATTGACAATTGACAACTTATTTTTTTAAATGAAGTTTTAGTAACTAAAATTACTTAAACTGAAACTGAAAATAAAGCTTTATAGAAAAAAAAGAAAAATAAAACAAAAATGTTATAACATAACAAAATTATAGAAAAAATAAGTTACTAAAAATTATTAAAATGGAAATAAAAATTAAAGCTAAATCAAAGCTATGTAGAAATATTAGTTTTATATTTACTTATATATACAAGCACAGTATATATACACACATACAAAAGTACATAACAATTTACTAAAACTATTAAAATCAAAATGAAAATATAAAAAAAGCTAATTTAAAATATGAATAATTATAATATATAAACAATACTAAAATCACTCAAAGCTGTCTGAGATTTGAAATATGACGTATAAGCTGTTTATTAACACCATAACTACTTTTATGGTGTTTGTCCTTTTTTAAATGTAAAATGTTTCTCCTTTTGGCTTTGGAACTACATTAAGGATGACAACAACAGATTTTCGGGTGAACTATTCCTTTGACATTTGAACCAGCAGTATGAACATTAGTCACCTGTGTTATTATTGAGGAAGAGAAGGCAGAGATGTTGTGTAGTGTGTGTACTTCTGCACTGATGTGGCTGCCAGGTGACTTAATTGGTGATGTTTCTCAGTGGGGTGTGTGTGTGGAAAAGACAGCAGGAATGTGTGTTTAATCCGCTCTTTTTTTTTTTTGTGCTGTCTCTCTCTAACAGACGACTGCGAGTAATTAGTCTGACACTAAAAAGCAAAGCACTGAAATAATAATAAAAAGAAAAAAGAACTCCAGTAGCACAATGTTTTTTCAACGTGTCACTCTGTTTAATGATATTAGATTGTGTGCTAGAGAACCTGACAAAGACTAGTGTACCAGTCACTTGTATAACAAGTTAAATGTGTCTGTAAATATCATGCAGGTGCACTAAATGAAAGTGCCTGAGCGTGAGGCTGTTTGGATGCCAACGCTTCAGGTTAAACTGTAAATAAGAGTGCCATATTTTCATTTAACAAATGTTAACTTGCCCTCCGGCTTCTCTCCCGGTGAGGAGAGGGAATGTTCCACTTCTGGATGTTTTCCTAATGGGGGAAAATTGCTAGCTGAAGATGAGTGAGGTTTGCTTTAAATCTTCAAATTCTAGCATATTGTGACCTGACCTTGATCCCCGCCAGGGGTTAAAATGGGATTTCGGGGTTAGGAAATCCCTAAAAATTTGGTGGTGTTTCTGGTGAACTTAAACAAGATAAGACATGACAGTTTCAATGTAGAATTTTGCAATATTAATATATTTACTGGAAATAAAAAATAATAGCTAGAGAAAAGAATAATGATCAAATAAATGATTAAATATAATTATGCTTACCAAGGCTACATAAATTTGATCAAAATACAGTAAAAATAGTAATATTGTGACATTATTTAGAAAAAACTATTTTCTATTTTAATGTATTTTAAAAAGTAATTTATTCCTGTAATGGCAAATTTACAAATTTCTCATTTAAAGTCTTCAGTGTCACATGATCCTTTAGAAATCATTTTAATATGCTGATTTGGTGCTCAAGAAACATTTCTTGTAATTATCAATTTTTGTAGAATAATAGTATATATATATATATATATATATATATATATATAATTTTAATACTTTAAATTCAACTTTTCAGTTTTTAAGATTTCAAGTTTAAGTTTTTCATCGAATATTTATGTTTTGTTTTATTTCAGCTTAATTTAAATTACAAAAAAAAAGTAACAGTTTTAATTTTTATTGACAATAAAAACAATGTAACAGACAGAAATTTAGGATAATATTCATGAAAGATTTTACTTAACTTTTCATTCCGTACATTCTATAATTACACCATTCTGGCACCATTTTTATTATTTTTTATTATTATTTTATTTATGGTTTTAAGGTTTTATTAAACACCAAGAAAAAGAAAAACAATCAGCGTAAAAAAAACCCCCACTAAATTGAAAAGAAAAAGAAAACACACACACAAACAAACAAACAAACAAACAAACAAACAAACAAACAAACAAACAAACAGATGAACTGCCTCAATATATATATATATTTGATGATGTTTAGTTGATGTCTACCAGAAATGAGGACACACTGATTACAAATATTATTAGATTGACAAAATGCTAATAATTATTTTTTCACTGTTCAGTCGGAGGTACCATCCTTGGCCCAATATAACCCCTGCTCCCTGTCAATGAAGTACGCATTCGATTAGACAAGGCCATGAAGATTTTCTGTATATCTTAACCTAAACTTCATGAAGGAATCCATTACATGATAAATCACAGTAGACCGTAGCCATGTGCATGTTTGCGGCGCATGTTATTCATGTGATCGGATCTGGTCACAGGGCGATAAAAACACATCTCTCTTTATGTGTCCTGTTCAACGGATTAACTCCAGGCTCATAATGTCATTTTTACCTCTAGCGTACCACAATCTGTGGACATCTGATGCTACACTGGCTCCTCGTGTATGAATGTCATTCATTTACATAGATTCTTTGCAGACAGAGTCATTGCCACATAACCATATTGTTGCTTGTCTTCATACGAGATTTCATTAACTTATGAATGATGGGCTTTCAGTTGGCAGCGTAACACTGGTCATATTTACAGATGGAAGTTTCCGTTTATATTTTATTCCTTTCCTTTTAAGTTTGCTTTTATACGCATACTTTTTTTTCTTTTATTACTGCAAAAAATTTATTTTGTCTTGTTTTTCAGTCAAAATAATATCTAAACATTATTAAATCAAGACATATTTACAAAATAATAGCAAAATGATATACAATAAGGAGTCTTGCAAAATGTATCAAAATGAAGTGATTAAATGAAGTGAAAAAATCGGCCAATGTGGTTAGAAAAATAGCCACTGCCAGATATTTATTTATTGTTTTAGGCCTAAATTTGTTTAATTTTGATCAATTTTTCAGACTTAGTAGTATATTAAGCCATTTTGCTTCTCAAGTAAATGTGCCTTGATTTATGAGTGTTTAGATATTTGTACTGGAAAACAAGACAAAAATACTGAATACGAAATTGATTTTTTTGCTGTACACCTAATCAGGTTAAATATTCAGGCATGTTTTAGATGATACCGTGTGATTTTACACAGAATCATGATACATATTAGCAAATAGGGCTTTTCACACACATATATTCATGTTAAGTCAAGATATTTCTGTTTGCTGCAATGTCTAGGTTACATTTTTACAACTTGCTGGAAAATTTGATTTTTAAAAACTAAAGAATGTAGTTTGAGTTAAATCTAGCCAAGATTTGATAACATCATTTTCTCTGCATTTCAGGATTCGTTTTTCTAGCAGTTCTTTATTTTCTTTCTCCCCTTTTTCCCCTTTCATCAGTCATATCTTTGATTGACATCTTGCAATTATTAAGCTACCTCAATGATACCTCACCTTGTGAATGCTTACTTTGACACATGAGAAACAATAGCAAAACAATGAGTAGCTGTATTTTTTTATTTTTTTAAGTGTCCTTGCTACTTTTTTGTGAAAAAGGGTCTGTATTTGCTCCAAAACGACTAAAAGCACCATAAAATTACTATAAAAGTAGTCAATACTACGCATACACTATATTCATAGTCGTATGATAGCTTTGTCATATGATAGCTTTAGCAAAATCTAAAAGTTTTTTTGTTTTTGGCTAAAGAGCAATGATGCTTGGTGCCAAATGACATCAATGCCATATTTTTGTAGTCCATTTCAGAGCTTTGGCAGATGGGAAGACCCAAATTTCAGTCTTTATTAATGTAAGAGTCTCATTTTATGATGCTATTTTTATTATTTTGGATCTTGACAGACCCGTTTTTTAAAAAATCACCTTTTGTATTCTATTGAAGAAGAAAAGTAATTGGAATGATGTTAAGGTTAGTAAATGAAGACCATTTTTCTTTTGGGTGAATTTTCCTTTAAGAGAAAAAAAGTAGATCTTATGAAATGCATCCTTTATGAATAAACAATTATTCACAAACACATACACTGCCTTGTGAAGATCCGGATGCTGTTTTGTTTTCAATAGAGAGTTTGTCTGCTGAGACTGTGATTAGTCATGGTCTCCCAAGATGAAATATCTTCTGTTTCTCCCTTCCAGGTATAAATCTTATCTAATAATTTCTCAAACAGAGCATAAAACTGACACACACACACACACACACACACACACACACACAGTGTGTGTGAGAGAGAGTGAGAGAGAGAGAGAGAGAGAGAGAGAGAGAGAGAGTTTGAGATGGTGCTGTCACTGTATCTGAACTTTAGCACATGTCGTGTATGGTTTACTTATGTGAACTTCAAGCTGAATTAGAATGGAAAAAATGAGTCTTGTTTCGGTGACTTTAGTTACGAGTTTAACCAGAGATTTGGTCTGATTAAAACTGAGTGACTCTCCACTGCACACAGTTCAATGTGTCAGAGTGCAAATGAGTCTGGTGTGCTCATGGGTAAATGATTATTTCAAGTGTGTGTGTGTGTGTGTGTGATGAGAGTCAAGAAAGAAGGAGAAGAGAATACCGGGAGATATGGATATTCGAAATACAATTGACACACACACACACACACACACACACACACACACACACACACAGAGTTTTACTCACCAAATTTCTCTCTTTGGGGTTTATTAGGGATTCCTCAGTGTTTTTTGACGAAGCGTGAAACTTTCAAGTGAGATCTAGAACGTGAGGAACCGTAGATCCTCGGCCGGAGTGTAAAACCAATCCAGATACTTCTGTAGGAGACACCAAAAGAGTCAGACGCACTGATGAACTCCAACAAACACACACATGCAATGAAGAGAGACGGCCCTGAAACTCATTGGTCACATTACTCAGCATGTGGCCAATTAGGAGTGCTTGAGAGAGGAGGAGAACACCTAGAGTCACTTCTGTG